GAATCTTCCCTGTTAAAATGGAAAATACTTCAGCTGGGCTCCAGGCCCAAATAAGTCATCTTTGTCCTTCACAGCCCTGTTGAGCTCTCGCAAACTCAAGGCAGTGGCTTCCTTTACAGAAACACTCTCTCTCCTGTTTGGACTTGCTTGTCTTCCTCTGCCCTGGGCTTCCCCTGGCATTCCTGTCTTCCCCATGGGGCCTGGCCTTCCCAAGACTTGCCCGACCCATCACCGTTGAAGAAGGGCTGATCCTGCTGGAGCTGATGGCTGCTCGGAACCAGCTTCTTGAAATGGTTCCACATAGCCACCAGGATGTTTGGACTCTCCCTGGGGGCACAGCTCTGGGGACCGTCATACCAGGTGCTCGCACTTGGCCGCATCATTCGGACAACTATCAGAACACACAACTGAACGCAAAGCCATGCGTGCTGCTCTCCGAGAACTTCGACACACAACCCTGCCACATGCTGGCCCTTCCCAACGCTGGTTTGGAGCACAAATGTTGCCGCGCTGGGGCTTGAATCCGCCTCCCCCAGTGCTGGAACCTGCGGGGGTCATCCCATAACACTGAGATTCAGGGCACATCAAAGGAAGGACTCCTTCTCCAGCACATAATTGAACTTCGGTATTTGCGCCTTTAAATAGTGCAGCTCGCAATTTGGTTGGGTTTCAAAGGAGACTGGAGAATTTCATGGAGGGGAAGATAATGAAAGGCTTCTGGTCCCGATGGCCACACACCCTCTCCGTATCAGTGTGTATGCCAGTTGCTGGGGAACATGGGTGGGAGGGTGCAGATTCCCAGCAGACAGTTGGTTGGCCATTGCAGGGACGGGGGGTGGGCTGGATGGATGCATGACCTGATCCAGGAAGCTCTTCTGATGTTCTTAAATCATAGGGACTGACTTTAAGGACAGCACGGAGCTTTGTGTCACCTTAAAGACTAACTCATTTGTTCTGGCATAGGCTTTCGTGGACACTTTGCTCAGTGCTATCACTGCAGGCATTGGGTGAAGAAGACTCTGTCCACAAACACTTGCTTTAAAATAAAAGCATTCCTCTTACAGGTGCCACAAGAGTCTGTATTTTTGCTGCAAGGGGTGAATAGTGAGCCCTCTGAAAATTCACTTGAAGGCAATTAGTTTAGACACAATGGCCAGTGTGGCCTAGTGGTTAGAGCTTTGGACCGGCCCTCAGGAGACCCAGGCTCAATTTCCCACTCAGCCATGATGCTCACGGAGTGACTTTGGGCCAGTCATAGACTCTCAACCTAACTTCCCTCACAGGGTTATTGTGAGGATAAAATGAGAAGAGGAAGATTCAGTGTGGCGTAGTGGTTAAGAGCGTGGGACTGGGACTCAGAGGATCCGGGTTCTAGTCCCCGCTTGGCCGTGGAGCCAAGTGGGTGACTTTGGGCCAGTCACAGCCTCTCAGCCCAACCTATCTCACAGGGTTGTTGTTGTGGGGATAAGATGGAGGAGGAGAGAAGATGTAAGCTGCCTTGAGCCCTCTGTAGGAAAAAGGCAGGCTATAAATCGCAATAAAATCGCAATATAAGATTATGTAAGCTGCCTTGGGTTTCTCGCAAGAAGGAACAATAGGATATAAATATAGCAAATAAATAGGGAGGAGAGCCTATTAAATGACTGCTTGGCTCTTGAACCACATGACCTCAGTTTCTTTCCCAGGGGAAAAAAGCACCTGCGGTAAGTCCCAGTCAAAGGGCTTTAGTCCACTCGAAGGAATCAGATTATCAGTGGAGAAGCAAGGGGACGGAGACCAGGGGAAAGAGAATGCCCTCTGATGGTATTGCAGAGTTTTGCTGGACCTCTCCTGCACGGCTGCCCTTGTGAAGAGTGTCTACTTTGCTTCTGCATTCAGGATGCATCATTAATGGGATTTGGGGACACCAATTTCTGGAGAGAATGGCATGGGTGGACCTATGCACTCACTTGGCCCAAGAACTGGTGACTGCTACCAAGAACCAAGCTCAACAGCTCCTTCATACAAACAATTATTCCTACATTTCTCCTTCAACCCCTTTTTTGAGCAACCTAATTTAGGAGGGGAGATAAAACTGGCTTTTAGCCGTTGCTGGTAAAAATGGGAGTCAGAAACTCTTGGCCAATCTACCGCAAATTGTTCAAACAGCTACCAGGAGCTGCTGATCTGCCTTCTAACCAGCTCTAGTCTCCAATCTTTTCAGCTGCATCAAGTGCTACCTCTCCTTCAAATTGCATGCTTGCGCTTGCTCGCTCGCTCGCTCGCTCGCTCGCTCGCTCGCTCTCTCTCTCTCTCTCACACACACACACACACACACACACACACACACACACACACACAAAATTGTGGTGCTAGATCACAGAGGGGAATCTGGCAATACTGCAAGGCTGAGGATACGGAAGGACCAGAACAGCACGGATGAAGGGAGGCTTGCCCATCTCTGCAGGGGTACCCCCAGCGGGGGGTTATGAAAAGGAGGTTTTGTAGAAATAGTCTGCCGCCCAGGTTCCACAAACCACGCCATGCATGCTCAGAGACTCCTCCGCTGTGGGCGGTTTGCTGGGCGTACACTGGAAATGCAGTGCTTTTGCCCACAGGCTCTGTGGTTTGAGAGAGAGGAGAGAGCCCAGCTCCTGGCATCAGGCCTGGAAGAAAAGCGACCTGGATAACCTGCTCGGTTTGTGCTGCTTTGGGAGGTTCACCAAGGCTCTTATGCGTCAGTTTAGTATTTGGTGCATTCCCATCTCCCCAGATGCTGAGATCGACACCCAGGCCCTGTGAGTGCCTCTTCTGAGGGAGGCACAAGAGGTGGCAGATAGGGTGCAGGCCTGCTTGGGAGTGGCCCCTCCGTGGCACCCGGGCAAGACACACCGGTGGGCTCGCTAGGCATGGAGGTTGGCGCCACCCAGCCCACGGTGCGGCCTCCATGAAGGCCCACACCAGTTCAGACGGTCCTGGACACTGCCGGTGCCGTGACCGCAGGGAGTTGGAGGCAGCCTGCACCCTGTAAGGTTGCTCCCCAGCAGGGCTCTCTCTGCCCCCGCCCCCTTACATTTTTATGCCACCCAACAGCTGAAACACACTGGAGTGTTTTGCAACCATTTTGGGGGTTGATTCCTTGAGCAACAGTGTGCAGGAATGGGTAAACCCACCCCAACACTGTCCTGTTCTAGTTAAGGTAGGACTCATAGAAACATAGTGAGTCAGAAGGGGCCTCCTGGGCCATCTAGTCTAACCCCCGGATCCGCTGATGACATGCCCACCATGTGGACGTCCAGCCTGTCCTTGAACACCCGCACCGATGGGGCCTCAACGACCTCCCGTGGAAGCCCGTTCCACACCCTCGGGGTCCTGACTGTCAGGAAATGCTTCCTGGCATCCAAATGGAACCTCATGCCAGCAACTGTTTAAAACGAGCAATTCACAGTGCCATTGTCCAAGGAAAAGCATCTGGGGTCTCTGGGGTACAGCACAATCATTGGATGCTTCCATACACAGGACCGTTTTCCTGCCTGTATATTCCAATATCAATCCACTTTGACAATTTTTATTTACCTAACTTCAGTTGCGTCCAATAGCTGAAGCTTTCTGGGAAGTCGACAGCAGCATGTAAAATGCAATAGAAATGCAAACTAAAAATACTGATAACAGTAAAAATGTAAGAACTACACCACGCGATTTAAAACCACATGGAAAAAGCTATAATAGTGAGCATGTATTAAGAGAGGGCCCGGTAGACTGTGGACAAAATACCTCAATACGCTGCTGAAAGCTGATTAAACGCCCTGCCAAGGGGGACAGTCTTGATCTGGTGCTGCGAATACAGCAAAGTCGGCTCCAAGCGAGCTGCAGCGGGGAGCCTGTCCTGCATCGTTCGTGAGGCTGAAAGGCGGGGGTGGGGAACCGGAGGCCTGCAGGCCGAGCCTGGACCACCTGGAGCCCTGACTTGGCCCCTGGGGTTCCCCCAATGGCCCCACCTCTTTCCGCTGACCAGCAATCTTTGGACGGCTTTTGCGCAGCATCCCTTTTCCCCACCATTCTAGAAAGTCAAAATGCCTCTCCTGGCCTTCAAAGTAAGGTACAGATGCTAGTGCTTTGGCCCTTTTTTTAACACCACTGGCCCCGACATGGCAGGCAGCTTGGATTCCCATCACCACTGCTGCAATGGAAGATGCCAAGAGCGAGCTTTTGGCATGCGCATTATGTGCACACCGGCCCTTGCCTCCTATAAGGGGAACACTGTGCACTCCCCAAGATTTACTTCAAGAAATGCAAGCAACCCCAGAACCACTCTTGGTGGGGCAGGCTCCTGCCCACTGCACGACGTTTAGCTCTGGGAGTCCCTCTCCGATCAAGACTTGTTCTGAGTGGCAAAGCTCGCATGTGTAATGCTCTGGGACCATGACAAAGAACCATGGTTTAGGCCCTGGGAATCTAAAGGAGCATCTGTTCCCATAGACATCCACCCAGACCCTAAGGGCATCCATGCAGGTCCTTCTGTGGGAGCTACCTCCAAAAGGGGAAGTGCCTTCTTGGCTGTGGCACCCCGATTACTCACACAGGGAGATGTGCCTGGTGCCGACTCTGTACTTGTTTCGGCACCAGGTTAACCCCTTTTTATTTTTCTGGCATTTTAATTGTTAATGTAACTGCAAAATTAATTGCTAATTCGTGGATTCTATAATGGCTTTTCTCTTATTAGTCATTGGCATGTTGCAATACACTTTTAGTAGATATCACTATTTATTGTTATTGTGGCTAGCCTTTCAATAGAGCGCAATGTTTTGCAATGCACTGCGAGAGATTGAGATATTTTGTGATAGCTTGTGGTATTTTGCGATAGATTGCAATGTTCTGAGATCTATGGCAATATTTTGCGATATACAGCTAATGGGGTTAATTGCGCGAGTTATAAAAGCCTTAAACAAACCAACACACCAACCGTGTCTGCCAAGCATCCCACCCCACCACCGCCGCATTCACTGCCACGCGCCCCGTACCGTGAAAATGCTCGGCCGTCCTCCACCGCAGGGCTTCAACCGTCTCCTCGGGGTCGGCCCATTCCAAGACCAGCCTCCTGCCGTACAGATGGGTGCTGTGGCACAGGGCGCTGAAGGCTCTCTGAAGAGAGAGAGACACCAGTGACAAGGTTTGGCTCGTCCGAGCAGCTCTGGCTGCCTCTCACCCGGTGCCCCACACAGAGACCAACGGAGGGCACCTTCCCTGCCGGATCACCACACCCCCTTGCGGAGGATTAAAAAAATGGCAAACGTGTCGCACGTGAGCTCCCTGCAGGTCATTTGCATTCCCGTTTTTTCCTCCACCTGGGAAAAATGTGCAGTCTCCGTCGGGAAAAGGCACGTATTTGTGTGCCTCCTTTCCTGGTTGGAAAAAAGTGCATTTTTAACACATGCGTTGTTCCTGATTGAAAATGCACGTTTCCCCCACATAGGCTAAAGCATGAAAATGAGGATTTTTTAGGCGGGATTTGCACATTTGTGCACGGCATTTATGGAAGTATGCATGCGTATTTTCAGAAGAGCACTCCTGTGCTTGTGCAAGTGCATGCTTAGGGAAACTAATCCCAGCTTGCGAAGATTTCCAGAGAGTTGCATACGCAATTGTGTTAACCTGCGAGTGAGACTGGTTCCTATTATTTGCAAACGGGAACAAAACTGTACATCCCCACCGCTAATAGCTACCTGGGTCGGGTTCCCTTGACAGGCACTAACAGACATTATTTTTATTACTGTTATTAATGTATTACCATTTATATTCTGCTTTTCTCTTCTTGTGAGGAACTCAAGGAGGGTAAGAGACCTTGTCTTCTCAATTTATCCTCAGAGCAACCCTGTGCGGTAGGTTGTTCTGAGGATAAACACACGGTTCAAAGTCACCCAATGAGGTGGGTGAGGCTGAGCGTCCAACACACCAAGTCCCAGTCCAACAAGGTCACTACTGAACCACAAGGCCTCTTTCTATACCACCCGTCTTTCCCCAACCTAGTCCTATTAAAACTAATGATATTCACGTCAGCCACAACCAAATTTAAATCCCATCTCAATGCTATGTAGGGGCATTATGATGAACACGGCATGCCTACGCCCACCTTTCTTCCTCTTGTGAGGATCCGAAGGCAGCTCACAAAGTCTCCGACTGGCCTGGAATTGCCCAGCGAGCTTCATGGCTGAGTGGGGTCTCGCTCCCGATCGCCCAAGCCCCAGTCCAGCATTCTAACCACTGCACCGTGCTGCTTTTAATTCAGCTGCGCTCCCCAGTTTCTCCTGCTCCTGAATACCTGTTCCTGCATATGCAGGTGTGTGGATGGTGTGACCCCCCCCCCCAAACACTCCCCCTTGCAACTTGCAAAGCCCCCGGACAACCAAAACCTTATTAAGCATGACCATCCTTGAGGGAAGGCAATGCCTTCTCTCCCACCCTTGAAAGGTTGCTAAGGCCAGACCACAGGCTTGACAAAGCCCCTCCGGTTCTGTGCTCCCATCCCAGCAAACACGCCATTCTCTCGCTCTTTTACTCCCTCCTTATGCAAATGAGGTGGGAAAAGCTGCAGACGGGCGCTGTCTGCTGTCACTTGACAGCCCTCGCAACCCCCCCACCCCGGTCCTCCAGGACTCAGCCCCGCTCTTCAGGGAAAGCAGTAAGGACAAATATGTTTGCTGTTCGGCTTGGACTCTGTGCAATTGCGCAGTTTATGCGTTGCCTTGTTTCTGTTTCTGTTGTTGTTGTTGTTGTTGTGTGTGCTTTTAAATGCCGATTTTCACACAGAATGCTACCCAATTAGCGGAGCAATGTGTTGGCTTAAACAAACACTGCTGGTGGGATGGGAAGGCGGGGGTGGTGGGACGGCGGGGGAGGGGAGGAGGAGAAGGAGGAGGAGGAGGAGGGCTCCGCTGTGGGGAGCAGCGAGAGCTGTTTACGTTGGCAGCAGCAGCCATTCCAGCCCTGGCAAGCGACCGTGGCTCTAATTGTAGGCTCTCATTTGCTAATTTGTACTTTTTAATTTCGCACTTCCCGGCGTCGCGGGCGAGGGAGACGGTGGATGTGTGAGAAAGGATGGCGAGGCCCCCCGTCTGCACAAGCATGAGCGGGAACAGCTGGGCGCCGGCAGATTCCTGAGTGGCACCCAGGTAGGGGCGCCGTGGCAGGTTCAAGCGCAGCCGATTGCCTCCCCCTTCCCCGACCTGGCTGCGAATCGCAGGCCTGGCGACGCAGCTCTGCAGGGCCCCGGCTGGTGAATGCTGTAATTCAGGAGTTCCCAGGCAGCCCGATCCTGCCCGGTGTCCCGAGAGCTCCTGCCACTCAGGGCAGACCATCTGGGGCTGGAAGGATCAAGGGTCCAACGCAAGAGGCTCCTCCCACCTTCCCTACTGTTCACGTTGAAGTGTGCCAAGTCCCTGGGCCAGTCCACTGGCCCCACCTACTGGAGGGTCCCAGACGGGGGTCTTTCCCAGCACGCCTTAACTCCGCGACGGTGCTGGGACCCCTACATAATCACTGGAATCCATCCTTGTTCCTTCCTTCTCTCCCTCCCGTTTTCCTCCCGATCTGATTGCTCAAGTTTCTTCTCCAACTGCCATTTAGCACGGACTCCCAACCCAACCTTCCTCACTGGGTTGTTGCAGTAGGGATACGACTGAGAGCAGGAGGAGGAGAAGGATGTTGGCGGCTTGAGTTCGTAAGAAAAAAGTGGGAAATAGATCAAATAAATAAAAAAGGGCATCTGGTGGTATCGAAGGACACACTTGCCTGAACCGGGCTCAGAGTTTCTTTTGTTTGGCCAAGCGCCTCAGGGATCTGTTTGGGTACGTCTGCAAATCCGAGTTTGTCAGTGCCTCCCCTTTTCTTTCCGAGTGCCCCGCTCGCCGATCCACGCCACTTGGCACTGATGCCACCTAAATTTGGCAATACGGTTACGCGGAGCTGCTCTATCTTGGCTGCTCGGCATGGGGGAGCCTTCCCTCTCACCTATTTCATGCACTTTATTGTCTTTGCATTCACGCATGGGTGGGTGGGTGGAGGGCTTGTTCTGGGCTCGCGTTAAAGCCCCGCAATGCATGCAGCCACGGAGGGGGGTGCATGAAGAATCCGTGACCAACAGGGCAGCCCGGTCTGTATATGGCCCTGGATGTCAGAGGTCCCAAGAGCCTTGCAGGCATGGCTGTTCCCAGATGCATGGAGGGCGGGGACCGTCTGGGTTCCAGCGCGGTGGATGCCATAGATCAAGGCAGCGGGCCAGGGAATGCCCCTCCCAGGGGGGCCATGGCTCACCAGGCCTAAATGCTCTTAATTTGGTGGACAGGGCCTCTCTGCCTCTCCGTTCCCTCTTGCCCTATTAAATACTCGGCCCAAAGAGCCCAGAGGCAAAGCCATTAGTGGGACACAAAAGGCCGACAACATTAGGCTGTTGATAGATTTCCCATCCTTCCCGAAAAGAAAGCGTTGTCAAGGGTTCTGGCGGAAGACGGGCCGCCGCCACGCCAGCTGAGCTCCTGGACGAGGGCCGGGCTTCGTTCCTGAATGGGTGATTTTCTTGCTTTGGAGAGCAGCTGAGTTTTTAATGCCGCCTGACATCAGGCACAGCTCTGGGGACCCCCAGACTAGAGGCAGCTGAAGGCTGCTGACCAGTGCAGCAAGCCATTACCATATTGCCGCAATGCTGAAAGGCCTGCACGGTCGCCCTCCAGATTCAAAGTGCGGTGATATTACGAGCACTAAAAAGAATAATCATCGCTTTTCCATACAGCTCTACATTCAGTTCATAAAAAGCTCGACGCTTTCCGCCTCTAAGGGAGTAATCCAACGGCCCCCGGACACCATCAAGGGGAAACAGGATTCCTTGCATTCGGAAATCCAGTGCCGGAGGCAGGGCTCTGACCTGGGAGCTGAGAATGGGGCTCCTCCCACTCGCGAATGGCACAAAAGAATCCTGCTGCTGCCTCTCTGAGGTTGGTGCCTTGACCTCGGAGAGGTGGCTAAAGGGGTTTTCCTGTGCAAGGGAGAGGAGGAGACCTGCAGAGGCCGGGGCTCAATTTTCTGGTGTCTCCTGCAGCCTCTTTCCCTCCCCATTCAAAGTACCCCAAGTTGCAGAGCAGGTCAAGTGGGGAATTGAAGAGGTCCTCACTGCCTCTCCTGCTCGGCAGGGGACAATCGCTGGCCTCTGCATTTGGAAGCTGGCAGCTCTCGCAACCGCACCCCGAGTGGCTTAGGACCTCCCTGTCTTGCTGTGACCTGCTCTGAGATGGTTTTCTAGAAGAGAGCCTTTCGACGTCACCTCCCCTGGCAGAGGGCTATCCGGGCCCTGCAGAAAGGGCTTGCTCCCGTATTGCTCCCAGACCCTGGAATGCCCTTCTGCCGGAGTGAAGACTGGTCTTCACCCCGCCCCCCCCCCCTTGCACATTCAGCAGGGGCTACGGCCCAATGCCTTGCATGGAGAAGGTGTGGGGTGTTATCCCGGCAGGGAAAGCATCTACCTGCCACTCTGGCCAGCCACTGCTGCCAGCCACTGTTGGCAACACTAGTCTAGGCAGACCAGCTCTCCTGACTCACCAAAAAGACAGCTGGGACACCTTCTTTTAGCTGGGCTTTTTCAACTCTTATGTTTTGATTGCTCTGTCACCCCAAAGCAGAAGCTGTCTGAGCAGTTCACCACGATTCCCAAAACATGGACACAGATACAAGAAAAGGGGGAACTGGCTTCCAGTACACTAAATTTTAAAAGCCATTTAAAAGCTAAAATAATTTCAGTCTAAACTAGACCTGTTAAAAACAGCAGATGTAAATTAAATATCCTCCGATGCCATGAAATGCCTGGGAGAAAAGGGCAAAGTTATGGGGCGGTTTACTAATGTAATAAATAAATAAGAAGTAAGTACATTCAGGCTAGAAAAGGTGCTCCACCATTCCCCATGGTCCCAAACCATTTAAGACTTTATAGATTAAGACCAAGATTAGAATTTAAAAACAGCATTCCTTTTAAAAGAATCCAAGCTAATTCTTTTGGAAAATGTAGTTAAGTATTTGTTATTTCTTTAACCAATACTGAAAACCTGCATGTTTACATGGAATCCAAACATAAGCCTAGTTACGGAGTTTAAGGTTACTTTTAAGATCTGACTATAATTTTGCTTTTTATTTTTCTTACAAAACGCTTGATTGGTTTTTCCAGAAAGGTGGTATGGAAGTGTATAAATAGATCTGTAGAAAAGTCATGCCAAAAAAAAAAAAGACTGAAGGACAAAAACACATAGTGATCATCTCTCTCTTGGTTTGTTTACTGACTTTCATACATTCAGTGATTCTTGAAGAAAGACAGATAGGTGGGTCTACCTCCATTCATATGATCACACACATGGGCATTGAGGAAATTCCCTCAGCGGCAGGAAGGAAAATTTAGGGCCACGAAAGAAACATCACCAAAAATTACAAAAATGAAGATTAGCTAGGAAAAACAGACCAAACCAACAAACCGGGCTATAGATGCTCTCAATTTGGCAGGAAAAAAAAGGTGGGGAACAAGATAGGCAACACCTCCTAGTGGTCAAAGAAAGCAATTTGGTGGCTAATGCAAATAGGGGCAAAAGTTGTAACTACATACGTTGCAGAAAAACTATGTGATTAGCAAAGATGAGAGGCATATCGTTTGCAGTTCAAAGAGAGACTTTCCGAACAATGGTGTTTCTAATAAAATACTTACTTCACATCCAATAAAAGTTCTTAAAGCTTGAATAGAAAGTACAAGAAAGGGAAGCTAAAATGATCAGGGGACTGCGTCATCTTTTGTGCAAAATAAGAGTTTGGTTTCTTAGCTCAGAGGGGACAAAAACGGGGATTGCAAAAAATGATTCATAAGTCCTGTAAAAATAAAGGCCCAAACATCTCCCTTAATGCGTTTCACCTGGTAACCAAATTCATGGACTTTCTGCAGCAGTTTTAGAGACCCAGACTGGAAAAGGTTGATCCTATTTCAATGCTAATTTTACCAAGCTCGGCACTGGCATTCCATCCTTTCCATAGTTTTGTTGAAAATCATGCTGGATTCTGATCGAGCAGAGGATCTATTCAGAAAAGGATCGAACCAGTACATGAAGTCCATTTCTCGCAGAATGGAAACGGAATGGAGCTGGTGCAGTGCAGTGGTCAATGAACACTAACCTACCTCACAGGGCTGTTGTGAGGATAAAATGGTGCGGACGGACACTAACCTACCTCACAGGGCTGTTGTGAGGATAAAATGGTGCGGACAAGGGAGCCACCTTGAATTCTTGTAGGGAAAAAAAAGATGAGGCAAGGAAATAGTAAAGCGATATGCATTGGGGTGTTGCATCCTTCATGGGAGAGGAAAGGAAGCGCAAGCCCAGAGAATGTATTGATTCCATCCTCTACTTTGGACAAGGGTGGAGTGGAACTGAACATCGACAAACCTTAAAAATGGCTCTGCTGGGTTAAATGAAGCAGGGTGTGGTGAGGATTAAGCTGAAAAATCTCCTTGTGTGTTTCTGTGGCAGCGCATAGGTAGATCTGTAATCGTGCCCATTTCTGCAGGTTCATCAATAAAATGTAAGGTCTTCTTTCCCCAGTTGTGCAAACTGCCACCAGCTGAAAAAGCCACATGCCACCAGCAACTGTGCCTTGGCCTGGAGATGCTGAGGGGTGGGGGCAGCACAGAATCCATAGGGCTGCGCCAGAGAAGTCCAGCAAGTTTTCACCCACCCTGCATGGAATCTTTTTGCATCCCCATCGAGTCCAACACAGTGCCTGAGTTACCAGCCTCCGGCGCTCTATGCCCTCCCCTCCCCATCAAAAAAACACTGCTGCTCCCGAAGCCAAACCCAAGCACAGATGCCGAGTTTGCCACAGATCTCCCCTTGACTTGTGGTAAGATTCCTTCTACTTGCCTGACAAGATGAAATCAAGCTACGGCTGCGTGAAGCGGCCTTTTCCAGAGATGCCCAGATCGTTTATGCAGAATCGTGGATAAACAAATGAAGGATCAGCACAAAGGCAAGCGAAGTGCATCACCACAGAAAGGTTTGGCTGCTTCGAAACAACCTTTGCACCCTTTTCTCACAGGTAAATGTAAGAAGGGAGAGCCAGGACAGAAGGAGTGGCTCACCTTGGCATCTTGCTTAGTGAGGAAGTCCACAAAACCGAAACCACGATGCGTTCCCATTCCAACCATTTTCTTCGGCAGGCGAACCGTTTTCAACTCTCCAAAGGTGCTGAAGGTCGGGCGTGCGGGAGCAGAGAAAGGGGGTGGAAACAAACAAAGCTCATTATAACCCCAGACTAGAACACAGTCGGTCAGGTCACTCGTTGCAATTCAGGAAATGGCCTGTGGTGCAGCGGTTCAGAGCGCAGGCCTGGGATTCAGGCAAGCTGAGTTCTAGTTCCTGCTCAGCTGCACAGCCAAGTGGGTGACTCTGGGCCAGCCACAGACTCTCAGCCCAACCTACCTCACAGGGTTGTTGTGGGAATACGACGGAGAGCAGGAAGGGGAGAAGAATTACGCGTGCTATTAACCATGGGCGTTTCAGAAAGAGGACCGGTGTTTCGTTGCGGGGTTGTGAACTCTGGCTTGTTGAAATCATGCAAATCCGGCACTCTGAGTTGGGTAGTTTTGACAGGTCGTGGCAACAACGAGTAAGAGAGCTTCAGCTGCCGCGCGGTATAGAAATTAATTAAATAAATAAGAGGGCCCAAAATACATCACAACGCTGTGTAACGGAACACAGTTGCTGCAGAGCCCTCCAGGGTGCTGTGACGCAACAGGTGGCATGCAAATGTTTTAAATAATAAATAAAAGAGCCTTGGATGCAGATGCCTCAAGAGAGGGCTTTGGGGGCACGATGTTCAGTGGGTCGCACAGCTGGCAATCTAACACAAGCTTGTGCGGCTTTCTTTCTCTGTTAACCTCAAACTCCGCAACCAGAGCCAGGTGCAACTGCGTGGTGCGAGCACCAGGACCTATGCTTAAATTTTGGGAACAGGGTGCCTCTGAGCACAGACAAAGCCCAACGGAACTTGAAAAAATAAGGAATTACAAAATAAGAACACACTCAGAGGTTTGTCCTGCTCCTCCCCCTGCGAGCCTTCTTGATTTTAACAGCCCAAATTAGGAGGGGAACAGAAGGGGTCAGTTGTCACGATTCTCCGATGGCTGGGCATCCCCTGCTGATCTAGGGCGCAACACCCACCAATCTTGAGCTCCCGAATAGGAGACTGCTGATCTGGCGCAGCTGGAGTGTTGGCAGGCTTGTTTTGAACGGGATCACATGCATTTTGCTCTGGACTGGCATGCTCAGGTGTGCTGCTGAAAGGGAGGACAATGGCCACCTGTCCCACAGGGTACACTCCCCGTCTCTATAACCCTGGCAGAAATCCCGCGATAAAGCAGCACCTTTCCCCGCTGCCAAAAGCCAGCTGCCTTTCCCTGGCGTCAGGTCCATTTATCAACACCTACGTACAAATTGGAGACAATGAATATTTAATGTGGGCTCTGGCTGCCGAGGTGCGCTATTTTATCTGACAATCCCCACACGCGCGTGGCACAGGGCCGGGGGAAGCTGTCGGGGCCGGAGCGCGCCCGACTGGGAATCAACGCGGTAAAGTGCCGTAAACGCTCTCGTGAAATGATAGAAGCTAAATCCAGGGAGTTAACCCGCTGCACCGGCTGCATGACCAGGCATTCATCTGCTGAATTTCCTCGGGCCGCGCCGTGTGTAAGTGGCGTGTGATGAAGCCTCAAAATGAATCTGCACGTCTCTCTCCTCAAAGCGTCCCCCCCACCCCGGCCGCCCACCCACTCACAGCTTCCATTTCTCCTTTCTTTGAAACAGCGATCGAGGAACAAAAACAGAAAACAAACAAAAACCTGGGAGACAACGCAGCTTGGAGGATCCGTGCGCCGGAGCCAAAGCGAGCAGGGCATGCCAAATGTAGTCCTCAAGATGGAGGGGAAAAGGGGATAAACACGGGTGCACATGCCGGTGCCTCTTGCTCACAACCCGAGATTCTGAGTCGGGCTGTGAGTTGCAGCTTTTCCAGCAGCACCTGCAGTGCCCAGGAAGGCACCATATAGTCTACACGGGAGTGAACTGGCACCCCTTTGGAAGGAGGGCGACAGGACCACAAATGCGGATGCACGCAAGATGGCTGGCTGCGCTTCCAGAGCAGGAAATAGCAGCCTGCTTGCCTGAATGACGGCCATGCAAGTCGCCGCGCTGGGTCGGGCCACGTGGCCCGGCCAGTGCTGGCCCCCCGCTGTAGGGCCCTGGCGCAAGGCGCCCCCAGTGGGCTCTCTCGCACAGTGCACCGACCATCTCATCGCTGCCGCCACCAGCTGGCCGCTCTCCTCAGCCTCTCGCTCGTCACCGAGGTCGCCTGCTCGCTGGCCTGGCCAAGCCACCTCCATGTCACGGTCACCTCCGTGCTTTTGTGGATCAGAGGAAGACAAGGAGACACTCCAGGGGGCTCTTGTTGGCGCGCCCCTTGCCTGATGCCCAGCCCAGCCCACCGAGACACCAGCCCTGCTCACTGCCACTCGCCTCTGGGTGGGCTGGCAGGCAGCATGTCCATGTGTGGGGGGGCAGGCACCTCCTGCGCCGCCCCTTCCCCACCGCCACTGCCTGGGCCAGAGCGAGAGACAGGCGAGCGAGCGAGCAAGTGAGCGAGCGAGCTGTCCTGGCGAAGCGGATGGGCATCTCCTGCTGCAGAGCGGCTGGCCCTGCTTCCACCTGCCAGTTCCTGAGGGGGGCCAGCCCGATGGCAATGGGGTGCCCGCAGGCAGGGCTGGAAGGCCACCGCAGGGACCTGGTGGGGACCCAGAGGACCAGCTGCTTGACACGCTGGCCATGGCACTGGGGCGGGGCACCCCTTGTTGCCCCGAACCCCATGCTCTCTACCCCGCCTTCCCATCCCTACACAACTGGCCACACAGGCCGGGCTCAATGGGAGGTGCAATCTTCTGTATCTGGAGGATGCCCTGCTGGGGAAGGATGCTCTAAGGTTTCTACTGGAAGCCGCCCCGAGGCTTATGCGAAGCGGGCAGCATATAAGTTGTCTAAATAAACAAACAAACAAACTGAACCAAAGGATGACGAAGTCTTTTCTTTCCCATACCTTCTCTCTCCACCCTTTCCTCCCATACTCCCCCTCCTGGACCCTAAGATAGTCTTCTGCAGCCTCTACCCAGGACCCCCCTCCAAGGGAAGCGAGGTGGGCCGCTAGCACAGAGAGGGCCTTCTCAGAAGTGTGCCATGACCTTCCCAGAAAGGCTTCCTTGGCATCTTCGCTGCGCTCTTTTCAGCCCCTCCCTATGTTTCCGGGCATTTGAATCTTGTGGCTTTGGCTGTTTTAAATTCATTACCATCGTATAAATCGTTGTGCTACTGCTGGGTTTCATTTGGTGTTAATTTTTATTTTATACTGTAGTTTCAAACTTTTCTATGATGTCTCATGTTGTACTTATTAACTTGGATTGTAGAGAGCCAGCCAGATAGCTTTGGCTACGAGGCAGTAGAAAATGTAATAAAATAAAATAAATAAAATCAAGTGTTTTCCTTGTGATGTATTTTAGATGGTGAGTTCCTTGCTGCAGGAGTGTGTCATTGGGTATCCTGTGAACTATCGTGCATAGAAATAGCAGTGCAGAAATAATGGGTGTGAGATGCATTGTTGGATGGGAATGAATGGATGGGACCCACTGCCAGCCAAAGGCCATAGGCATATAAAGCACAGCAAGAAATACAGCCACAAACCAAGGGAACCAACCCCCCCCCACCCCAAGAAATGCAGGGTCCCTGATCCATCTGCACATTATGCCAACCCTGTAAGGTAGGGTTGCGGCAGCGGGCATCTTCGCATCCCACTCTCCGTCTAGGGGGTTTATTGCTTTCGTGGCTGACTCAAAATGTGCTTGAGAGCAAAGAGATGCAACTGAATCCAGACTCAAGTCCAACAACCCCACCAGCCCACAATCTACAACATGCAGGGCTGGTGAAGCGACTGGAGAGTTTGGCTAGGATCATGGACAACAATCAAACCATCATTTAGCCATGAAACCCACTGGATAAACTTGGCCTGAAGTCCTGCAGCCCCAACCCAGCCTTGCTACCTGAGGGTCCAGCTGTAAATGAAGATTAGCTGTGGCATGTGGAACGCAGGAGAGACAGGCCCCAGAGTGGGGGTCCCTTTGTCTTCCCCCGAGCTGGGGCCAGGGTGGCACTGAAGAGCGGGCTAGGAAGAATTTCAACAGGCTTTCCCGTTGAGCGGCAAAGTAGCCAGCCAGGGAGAACAATGGGGGTAACCAAGGACTCCTTGACCGGGAGGGAGGGGCAAGGACCCCCCTTTCTCCCCGCTGTGTTGATAATTAGAATCCATAACACGGCCATTGACATCCCTGAAGCTGCGAAAATGACGGGGAGGGAGGAAAGCTTTCACGCCCCCTCTCCGAGCCCGAGCCTGCCACTCACACCTCTCTTTTCCAATTATAATGTTCACCTTTTGAAGAGTGGGAGGGGGGACCAATTACCCTCTCCGGAGCACAGAGCGCCCTGCCTGTGAAGAATAATTCATGTTTTGATCAACACGGAGAGTTCTCACATTTCTAATTTGTTTTGTAGCATGGGATGGGGTTGGTCTGTGTGTACATGCAATGTGAGAGGCGGGGGGGGGAGTGTTTTGATGGGACCCAAAAATAATTATACTTTGTGCACAAGTCCCTATTTGTATGCAGATGGCTGGGGCTAGCGGGAGGGGGGCCAGGAGGATGCGCAGAATAAATGAGGAGGGGGAGCGCTCGGACACTCTGTGTGCGTGTGTGCGTGTGTGCGGGCGGGCACACACGAGAAGGGGCTTTGTGAGACCAGAGGATGCGCTGTCAAAGGCTGCCAGCTCTGTGCACTTCCTGGTGCAGTAAACAAACCGCGGCTGCCTTGAAAAGCGGGATGCGAGGCTCACCAGAGCAGGCACTTCTGCGAGGCTAATGATGGCGCCAGTCATGAGGCTTGCGTGGCCCTCCAGCGTCGGAGGCCGTGCGCCTCGGAGGAGCGGTGGGTGGACGGCGCACGCAGGGTGGCTGCCACGGTGCTCCTGGCCTCCCTCTCGCTCAGCCCCTCTGGGCGACTCTTCTCCCCCCGTCGGTCCATGGCTGCTCCACGCCGCACATCTGTATCGGCGCTCACAAAATGACTGCCGGGCAGGCCTTGCAGCTCACGGAGCA